GTCGCTTTCAGACATACACATACATAAATATACATATAAATGAGTATGTAGATATATATACACTCACATATCTCTCTCTATATATACACGTATCACGTATCTATGCATTCACATAGAGTGAGAGATTTATCTGTATGTAGATACACATATGCAATGATGCAATCATTTTAAATCAGGTCAAAAATATAATAAAAAAGATAAGTTACCTCTGTTTGGGATAAAAACATTAAAAGCAAACAAAAAACAGCAAGAACTAATCAAATTGCATTTTGTTATGGCCCTTGTCTTCCTAATAAGAATAATCCCAAACTGAGCACAGAAGAAATTCAAAACAGTGGAAACATTGAAGCTCAAGGTTGACTAAGAGAAAAGCTGCCTGTTTTCAAGTTTGAACCTCAATGCCCAGTAATTTGAAAGTCATTGCACTGAAAAGTTTTGCTAGTAATGGAAAAGATTCTAGAGCACAGGAAGTAGACATTTGGAGAAAAAAGTAAAATGATTATGAAAACTGCATCTCTCTGAGCTTAATGTAGAATCTGAGCAAAATTTTAGAAATTAGAAGAAGGCTTTATTTTTATTTATTCTTCAAAGTAAATGGATTTATATTTTTTAAATAATAAATGAACATTAATATTTATGATGGCGACATTAGAGCAAGTGTTATATTTTTGATAAGGTTACTAGAGTAATATATTAGAATGACAAGAATGTAATATATCTTGATCTCAGAACGATGTTTACATAATTCTACGTGACATTATTTTGGACAAAATATAAAAATGTGGGCTCGATGACATTTCTAATGGGCAGTGAATTTCATAATTGCTATTGATTAGGATGAAGGCTTCCAGTAGTGTTTTGCAGGATCATATCCTTTTACATATACATGACATGTGTAAAAAGGAAATAAATATTTATTGTGTGCCCAGTTTATGCTATTTTATTTCCAACTCTATAAGGAGGTACAAGGACAAACTTGCTACTTGTTAAAGTCCTACAATGTATTTTACTTTTTGTTCTATGATAAAGAAGAAATGCTATCTCTGTAACACATTAAGACATCGCAGGATTATTCTTTTCAAATACGGTTCTTTTTGTTTTAAAAACTAAAATTTTCCATAATTTACAGGGAAATTTTTTAGACCACATTTAATTCTATCTGAAATATAGTCCTCATGAATTATTTTACAAATATTTCAAATTAAGTTTTCACAGATACTTTGAAGCTTTGGAGATTGGGAACATAAAATAAAATTGCATACCAGTTTGTGATTTTATTTTGTGTTCCCAATCTCCAAAGCTTCAAAGCATCTGTGAAAACTTAATGAACATGGTGAGTGTTGTAGGGGAAAAGGACATGTCTGAAATCATGGTTGGGATGTGGCAAAGTCATAACATGTAACCAAAATGTTTGTACCCCCATAATTTTATGAAATAAAAAAATTAAAAAAAATAAAAATAAAATCACATATGCTTGTGTAGCTAACTGTGATAGTGTACTGCCCAATAAAAGCAACCAGGTGTTTCATTTTATTATTTTTCCTTTGTTTTCTTTATGTTACATATCAAAAACTTATCCTTCTGTCTGACTTGTCCAGTTGGCATTTAATCTAAATAAGATTTTCTTTAAGTGCCCATAATCTTTCTTTGTGATTTTGGTCTCTGATTTTTGAAGCTTCCTGTAAGAAAATGGATCTCTCTCCTTGGTTAAAGAATTATTTTAATTCAAATAAACTTTGGAACTAATTGAAATGCAAAAATAAAATAAATTAAAATAAAATCCTACAAGGTAAAATTATTCCTATTTCACGCATGTGGGAACTGAGTGAATCTTATTTTACCAAAAAGATTAAATAAGTTTCCTCATATCTGGAGACTAGTAATTGAAGAACTGGATTTTGAACTCAAATCTGCATGACCCCTTCTGTTGCAACTCCTATGAAGACAAAAGGCACACATATAAAATTTGTGGAAATACAAAGCTGAGAAAGTATGATCAAACATTGGATAACAGAATTAAAATCTAGAAAGTGTGGAATCATGGTTCAAAAGAAATAAGATGAAATTCACTTGAAATTAGTATTGTCTTAAAAGAAAAGTTCAAAAATCAATTTAATGTGTACAGACTAGATCATATAACATGAAGTTTAAGTGTGAGCTCTATTACTCAACATTGTAGTACTATTACTGTGTTAAACTATGTATTCAATGGAAAGGAAGAGAATTACACTGTTTTCTTCAATTTTTAGAGGGCATTCAGTATAGTGTTTTCAATGTCAATCCTGAGTACCATATTCTATGCATATATTTGTTTACAAATTGGCAAATATTGACCTGAAATTTACCACATGAGCATTCAGAAGTGAAGTTGCTTTCCCTACCACATCACATATTGTAACTTGTAAATGGTTGTTTCATTTATACATGATTATTATACAGCACAGTTCCTCTATGATCACATTATAAAAATTTCCAGAGAATACTGGGCCAGTAAGAAATGGAATGTTCAACTCTCATAAATATAGCTATAAGAAAAAATAGACCTAAATGTCACATTGATTTCCAAATTATATTTTCAGATACTGGAAAGTATCTACTTTATAAATTTATAAAGTATCCTCTATAAAGGATATAGTTTGCATTGAGAATGCATTTAAAAAATTTTTACATTAACACTTTTTATATATGTTTTTATATTCATGTTTGTGATTGCTGCTAAAATGTATATTTTCAAAATATGTATTTTTCAGTTTTTTTGTGCTTTTATTGTAATGTACCTAATACAAGATGATTTTCTTTGATGTCCATAAATGATGAAAAGTTTCCTTTGAGGAGAATTTTAGGTATAAGTAAACTTTTAGGCCAGCTGAAATTATACAAATATGAGGCATTATTTAAGGTACATAACATATTTTGTGCTAGAAACCTGTCAGCATCTTATTTTCATGGCCATTAAATAATTCAATTAGGTTTGTCTCATGACAGTCCTATTCAATAGATATTTTTAACAAAGAAAATTATACATACACACACACACACACAAATTTACTGCAAAGAGATAGATGACATAATGCATAACGACAGATTAAATACAGTTAAACCTAATAACTGTATTTTTGGCTCAATGCCTCTGAGACAAAATTATTAGAGCCTTATTCAGAGTTTTTAAATACAGAATATTCAGCATTAAGCCACATAAAGAATGTTTGCTCATATTTTTTTTTTTTTTTTGGAAAGAGAATGGTTATTTGTCCTTCCTGACTCCTAATGGAGAATCCTTCTTTGTCAAGGTTTTTTCATTAGAAGTTGACCCAAGGTCAACCTGTAAAGAAAACACAGAGACATCCTTAGATGATGACCAACTTATCCAACCCAATTTTAGTAAATGAGAGGATCTTAAGATGAAATGTGAAATGACCTCTATAGGTCACATTTATGTTTGTAATTCTCTGACAAACATCCAAATAACTACTACCTCAGCAAACATTGTTGCATTTTCAAGAAGTTGATATATGCCAATAGCTAATCTTTGTAAACATACTTCCAGAAGAATATGTAAAAAGTGATAACTACTTTCATGGAGTCTGCTTATGTCTTTGATATTATATGTCTTTGGCATACAGTTTGTATGTTTTATCAAGAGTGTAGAATAAACATTATTGTAACTTTTGAGATATATGTAGAAATACACTAGCCAGTTGATAAAAGGGATGTGAAAAATCAAGAAAGTAGAATATTTAAGTGCCTTGCAAATATTCTCCCAAATCAAGGTAATAGTTTAGAGCAGTGTTGACATTTTCTTATGACTTTAAGACTTAAATGTGTCACAAAATATTAATATTAGTCTCTATAAAAGACTTAAGTTTCTCTATGTAACATTAATTAGAAAACTAGATGTAAAGAAAATGCACAATAGCTATTGTATAAATAAAAGAACAAAATTTCAATTTTTTTTTATCTGAGTTACCTATTTGATTTATTTGGAGAGAATGAATAAATAAAAAGATCCTAACCTTGTTTGGACCATAGCATACCAGTGAGTCCTAAGGACTGTGCTTCAGGATAGAAGGGAAGAACAGAAAGATTTCCTTATTCCTTCTTACTATACAAAGTCTAGTGTTTGTACAAACATACACAACAATTCATATATAAACATGTATTTGAGTTTCTCCATAAACATATATGAAGCACCCTCCATTTTTCTTCATAATAAACCCTTCATTTTACCTGTTTTATTAAAAATAAAAAGGATGAGATGATCAGGAAATTCTAAAAAAACATGTCTTTAGGGTACATTAAGTGTCCTGAATTGCTTTAATGGATACATGGTAGAAAGACACAATTGTAATCATTAGTAAAGTTTAGTCAAGTTTTCTCACTATGGATGTATATAACAAAAATCATTAGAGACACATTTAGGATAATATGGAAGAATTATAACAACTATTTCAGATAGCATAACTTATTATCTAAGACTTATGTAGCAACAGAAAACAGAAAGCATAAATTATGTGAGAAGAAATCTTCATATGAGGAAAAGACCATTGTCTGATTATTAGAATATAAGATTCTCTCATTCTGGCTTTGCTAGGAAATACCTCATTGGTTTAGAAAATCAACTAATTGAAGGTCTTCACTTTTCTCCCTTATAATATATCCATTAAATCCAAAAAAGTATATGATAAAAATATTTCAATCATATGAATTTTATACAAAGCATATAAAATCAATTTCAAATTTTCTGCATATATTAAAATGTCTGTAAGAATGAGCTATTTTAGGTCTTCTTTAATTCTTCTATTAAATTCAGGCATCCAATGTAACCTAAAATATTGAGCTAAACTATCTTTTTTTTTTTTTGTAAAAGGAATAGAAAAAGACTGCTTCCCACGAAAATTTATTAACAATAGGTACTCAATTAGATGTTTTTAAACAATGAACAATGTTCTTTAATAAAATAATTGTGAGATATTTTTAAGTCTTTTTTTTCTTTTTCATAGCCCCACCTACACAAAAATTTCCGATGTAAGACACCACTTCTATAAGAGGTATTCACTGTAGATGTACAGAAGTCAAAGGAAATCTAAGTTTACAAGAAAAATAAACCAGATTATCATTCTAACCAACTGCATGTTCACACAGATGCTCAATAAAAGCTATCTATGATAATATGGATTATGAATTCTTGAAGTATATACAGTCGGCAACTATTTTTCAGGAATCATCATCCAACAAAGTTTTCTTTTTCATTTTAAATCTTCATATCACCCTTTTGACAATCAGTTGAATTATGAAAGAACATTAAAAAATATAAATTAAAATAGGATTAACTATCGACTGATATTCAACTTCAGAAGTTAAAACAAATACAAGTGTGTATTAGAGCAAAATGTGTTGATAATGTGTAAATCAAAACTGCCAGATGATTGTTTTTTTTCAACACATCTCATCCATTGTTTCTCCAAAAAACAAAGGTAGCATAAGAAGAAACAGGAAGATCTGCTTCAGTAACTGAACATATTGATTTTACTGGCTAGGAAGTCCAAATGCTAATACTCCTAATAATTAGCCATTCCTTTTGTGACTTGGTAACATATATCCTCAATAAATATCAAATGGAATTTTTTGATTCAACACTGAATTTCAAAGTTTCACATTTGAATTCCCCTAGTCTTAAGTAAGTAGTACATTGTCTCCTTTGTTTATAAGTAAATTTTTCCCAACATTAGGACTCCATGATGCAAAATGTCATTTGCCGATTTCTGTTCCAGTATTCACTTTAATTTTTTTGATTATAATTGGATTTCAAATACAATCATAAGACATCTCCTGTTGAAGGTGGTTTCCCCAAAAGTACTCATCAACACTACTGTAAGCTTTGCTTGCTTCGTAATTTTCAAATACATTCATGTTGGTATATAGACTTGCAGGAGGATTATCAGGGATATCAAATGATTCCTCTTCAAAATCGTCATCTTTAGCTTTATTTCAGTTCCTTTATATGATGAATAATAACCCATGTGCTGAAAGAGAGATGGTTTAAAACGGATCACATTTTTCTGAGCCAAGAGACTCGAAATGAGTCAATAGCCAATCACAAGGCATTTCTTGATAAAACATTAAATAAAAAATGTGCCAAACGTGGGAGGTCACGAGAATGATGAGTTTACCAATGTATCCAAGCTTAGAGAACTCAAGAGTTACCCAATAAGTTCCTTCTAAGGATGTAATTATTTTCTTGATGGCAGTTAAGAAATTTTTGAACATCGGACATCATCTTCAAGCATTACATAGTTCTGAAGTATTAGCACAAAAATTAACAGAAAAAGCATAACTACATTTTGCTTGGAACGAAATTTGACTCTGTCTTGGGCCAGTAAGAAATGGAATGTTCAACTCTCATAAATATAGCTATAAGAAAAAATAGACCTAAATGTCACATTGATTTCCAAATTATATTTTCATACCTGGAAAGTATCTACTTTATAAATTTATAAAGTATCCTCTATAAAGGATATAGTTTGCATTGAGAATGCATTTAAAAATTTTTGCATTAACACTTTTTATATATGTTTTTATATTCATGTTTGTGATTGCTGCTAAAATGTATATTTTCAAAACATGTATTTTTCAGTTTTTTTTGTGCTTTTATTGTAATGTACCTAATACAAGATGCTTTTCTTTGATGTCCATAAATGATGAAAAGTTTCCTTTGAGGAGAATTTTAGGTATAAGTAAACTTTTAGGCCAGCTGAAATTATACAAATCTGAGGCATTATTTAAGGTACATAACATATTTTGTGCTAGAAACCTGTCAGCATCTTATTTTCATGGCCATTAAATAATTCAATTAGGTATGTCTCATGACAGTCCTATTCAATAGATATTTTTAACAAAGAAAATTATACATATACACACACACACACACAAATTTACTGCAAAGAGATAGATGACATAATGCATAATGACAGATTAAATACAGTTAAACCTAATAACTGTATTTTTGGCTCAATGCCTCTGAGACAAAATTATTAGCGCCTTATTCAGAGTTTTTAAATACAGAATATTCAGCATTAAGCCACATAAAGAATGTTTGCTCATATTTTTTTTTTTTTTTTGGAAAGAGAATGGTTATTTGTCCTTCCTGACTCCTAATGGAGAATCCTTCTTTGTCAAGGTTTTTTTCCTTAGAAAGTTGACCCAAGGTCAACCTGTAAAGAAAACACAGAGACATCCTTAGATGATTGACCAACTTATCCAATCCCAATTTTAGTAATGAGAGGATCTTAAGATGAAATGTGAAATGACCTCTATAGGTCACATTTATGTTTGTAATTCTCTGACAAACATCCAAATTCACTACTAACCTCAGCAAACTTTGTTGCATTTTCAAGAAGTTGATATATGCCAATAGCTAATCTTTGTAAACATACTTCCAGAAGAATATGTAAAAAGTGATAACTACTTTCATGGAGTCTGCTTATGTCTTGATATTATATGTCTTTGGCATACAGTTTTGTACTTTTTATTAAGAGTATAGAATAAACATTATTTGTAACTTTTGAGATATATGTAGAATACAACTAGCCAGTTGATAAAAGGGGATGTGAAAATCAAGAAAGTAGAATATTTTAAGTGCCTTGCAAATATTCTCCAAATCAAGGTAATAGTTTAGAGGCAGTGTTGACATTTTCTTATGACTTTAAGACTTAGATGTGTCACAAAATATTAATATTTAGTCCTCTATAAAAGACTTAAGTTTTCTCTATGTAACATTATATTAAGAATAACTAGATGTAAAGAAAATGCACAATAGCTATTGTATAAATAAAAGAACAAAAATTTCAATTTTTTTTTTTATCTGAGTTACCTATTTGATTTATTTGGAGAGAATGAATAAAATAAAAAGATCCTAACCTTGTTTGGACCATAGCATACCAGTGAGTCCTAAGGACTGTGCTTCAGGATAGAAGGGAAGAACAGAAAGATTTCCTTATTCCTTCTTACTATACAAAGTCTAGTGTTTGTACAAACATACACACACATTCATCTATATAAACATGTATTTGAGTTTCTCCATAAACATATATGAAGCACCCTCCATTTTTCTTCATAATAAACCCCTTCATTTTTACCTGTTTATTAAAAAATAAAAAGGATGAGATGAGCTCAGGAAATTCTAAAAAAACATGTCTTTAGGGTACATTAAGGTGTCCTGAATTGCTTTAATGGATACATGGTAGAGACACAATTGTACAGTCCCTATTAGTAAAAGTTTAGTCAAGTTTTCTCACTATCTGGATGTATATACCACAAAAGCATCATTTAGGACACCATTTAGGATAATATGGAAGAATTATAACAACTATTTCCAGATAGCGTAACTTATTATCTAAGACTTATGTAGCAAACAGAAAACAGAAAGCATAAATTATGTGAGAAGAAATCTTCATATGAGGAAAAGAGCATTGTCTGATTATTAGAATATAAGATCTCTCATTCTGGCTTTGCTAGGAAATACCTCATTGGTTTTAGAAAAGTCAACTAATTCCTAAGGTCCTTACTTTTCTCCCTTATAATATATCCATTTAAACTCCAAAAAAAGTATATGATAAATCACAATAATTTCAATCATATGAATTTTAATACAAAGCATATAAAATCAATTTCAAAATTTTCTGCATATAATTAAAATGTCTGTAAGAATGAGCTATTTTAGGTCTTCTTTAATTTCTTCTATTAAATTCAGGCATCCAATGTAACCTAAAAATATTGAGCTAAACTATTCTTTTTTTTTTTTGTAAAAGGGAAACTAGAAAAAGACTGCTTCCCACAGAAAATTTATTAACAATAGGTACTCAATTAGATGTTTTTAAACAATGAACAATGTCTCCTTTAATAAAATAATTGTGAGATATTTTTAAGTCTTTTTTTTCTTTTTCCATAGCCCCACCTACACAAAAATTTCCGATGTAAAGACACCACTTCTATAAGGAGGTATTCACTGTAGATGTACAGAAGTCAAAGGAAATCTAAGTTTACAAGAAAAATAAACCAGATTATCATTCTAACCAACTGCATGTTCACACAGATGCTCAATAAAAGCTATCTGATGATATAATGGATTATGAATTCTTGAAGTATATACAGTCGGCAACTATTTTTCAGGAATCATCATCCAACAAAGTTTTCTTTTTCATTTTAAATCTTTCATATCACCCTTTTGACAATCAGTTGAAATTATGAAAGAACATTAAAAAATATAAATTAAAATAGGATTAACTATCGACTGATATTCAACTTCAGAAGTTAAAACAAATACAAGTGTGTATTAGAGCAAAATGTGTTGATAATGTGTAAATCAAAACTGCCAAGATGATTGTTTTTTTCAACACATCTCATCCATTGTTTTCCCTCCAAAAAACAAAGGTAGCATAAGAAGAAACAGGAAGAACTGCTTCAGTAACTGAACATATTGATTTTACTGGCTAGGAAGTCCAAATGCTAATACTCCTAATAATTAGCCATTCCTTTTGTGACTTGGTAACATATATCCTCATACAACGTATATCAAATGGAATTTTTTGATTTACACCTGAAATTTCAAAGTTTCCATTTTTGAATTCCCCTAGTCTTAAGTAAGTAGTACATTGTCTCCTTTGTTTGATAAGTATAACATTTTTCCCAACATCTAGGACTCCATGATGCAAAATGTCATTTTGCCGATCTTCTGTTCCAGTATTCACTTTAATTTTTTTGATTATAATTGGATTTTCAAATACAATCATAAAGACATCTCCTGTTGAAGGTGGTTTCCCCCAAAAGTACTCATCAACACTACTGTAAGCTTTGCTTGCTTCGTAATTTTCAAATACATTCATGTTGGTATATAGACTTGCAGGAGGATTATCAGGGATATCAAATGATTCCTCTTCAAAATCGTCATCTTTTAGCTTATTTTCAGTTCCTTTATATGATGAATAATAACCCATGTGCTGAAATAGAGATGGTTTAAAACGGATCACATTTTTCTGAGCCAAGAGACCTCGGAAATGAGTCAATAGCCAATCACAAGGCATTTCTTGATAAAACATTAATAAAAAATGTGCCAAACGTGGGAGGTCACGAGAATGATAGAGTTTACCAATGTATCCAAGCTTAGAGAACTCAAGAGTTACCCAATAAGTTCCTTCTAAGGATGTAATTACTTTCTTGATGGCAGTTAAGAAATTTTTTGAACATCGGACATCATCTTCAAGCATTACATAGTAGTCTGAAGTATTAGCACAAAAATTAAGCAGAAAAGCATAATCTACATTTTGCTTGGAACGAAATTTGACTCTGTCTTCTGGGTCATTGTAATTTCTTTTAAGGCCATCCAGGATTGGATAATATTCCTCTGGAGCATGTATAACCATTAATCTTCCCGCAATAATATGGTGGGCGAATTTCTGTGTAATATCCTGGACCATGACATCACGCCAGGATGAATTAAAGTCTGCCAGATGAACCACCACTGAAATTTCCTTCAGTTCTTCATAGCTGGATTGCTCAAAAATAGACTTGATTGTCTCAAGTAAATAGTTTCCTTTTTTTCGTTTTACTGATGAAAGTCCAATTGTAAGATACCCTGAGCAAAAGAATGCAGAAGGAAGACAAATTCAATGTGAAATAGAAACACAGAAAAAGAAATGAGAACATATTATTTTTGTTAAGTCTACTACTATATTAAGTAAATCTAGTGAATGATTATGCATAGAACATTTTGTGATTAAAGTGCTAAGCTAAATATATAAAGACTATAGTACTTTATACATAATTTATATTTTTTATGGAAAATAAATTACATTTTAAACATGATAATGTATGAGCCCTATTGCTGTGAACATTTGCTTCTTTTGAAATACAAAAAGATGGTTTAAAGTGCCCTGCAACTTAATGTTCTTTTATGTCTATTAGAAAAGATAGATGTTTATAAAATATACAATTTATTTTTTTTAAAAATCTGCAAAAGGGGAAGGGACTTGTCAGTTAAGACTGATGAGCTAGTCTCAAGTAAAGAAAAAGAAAAAGAAAGCTAACTCATTCTTCAATCATCTTTGAATTTTTCATAGAACACGTGTCATATATTTTGATTTTTCTTAGATCACTGTCATTTACTTGTACTAGAAGAATTCACAATTGAAATTTACAATTTTATTTTGAAATTTAGCTAGTCTATTAATTATAAAGTAAAAAACATCATAAGATATATTCAAAAAACTTTTATGCTACATTGTCCTAAGAGATTAGCATCACTGTTTTCTTCATTTTGAAACACATATTATAGTGATTTTGCTTGGAAAAACTTTTATTTAGACATTTAAAATCTAAAATTAGAAATTGGATATTTTTAGAGAATAAAACTCTGAGAAAAGACAGTTCACCTCTGAATAGTGTTAGATGTATTTTTATTGAAATATTTTCACTCTTTGAAGCTCTCATTCTCATGTGACTCAGAAATGAATAAAATTTCTGAACTTCTATTTGGAAAATGGGGAAACTTTTATATGTACCAAGATCATTGTTTTAATATAGACGTCTACATGATGTGGGTTGTATGATACTGAAAAAGCCTCATTTCAAGTAGTAAGAAAAAATTTTCTTGAATGGGGATTTTTCAGTATCATACAAAGCATATTATGTAGAAAAACTTAGTAGTTTGTAAGAATGGTTGAGGTTTACATATTAAAAATACGCCCAGGCTTCCAACTCTGATTCTACTGCAACATAAATATGTTGTTATCTACTACCATAAACTTTAAGCCATCAAATTTCATTAGTATTCAATAATACTCAACACTTAATAAAACATTTTCTATGTAAGAGGCAAGAGTTCATGCATTTTATCTGTAATATGCATCTTATATGTTTATAATAGTTTTTTGAGATAGGTTTGCTGTTATCACCACTTTGTTTCTCATATGAGGAAACAAAGTCATAGTGAGATGAAGTAATTTTTGCAAAGTGTTACACTTAATAGGCAGTGTGATGACAAGATTCCAACTGCCCCACTTTTATCCTCTGTGTTATATTGCTTCTTTAATATAGAGCAGCTGGCATATTTGTCAATAGAAATTAGCAAATCTAGCATAGAAAAGAGGGATCGGTAATGTTTAAACATAGGTGGAATAACACATGGAGATGAAAAAATAGTGGCAGTCTGGTGTAGTTAGAAGGAAGCTTAAGAACACCTGATATTTGAAATGGTGGAATGAAAAAAATCAAGATATAAAGAAACCCAAATTAATTTAATAATTTTCTCAACCTGGTGATCACAAATTCACTCAAATAAACATTTCTTCAAAGCAAAGTCAATTTTTGTGGTCCCCATATAATTTATTAAGAAGTTCATTATATTTCATTGATTCCAAGATTTGTATTTTTCATGCTGAAACATTTAAAAATCAGCTTGCACATTACAATTGATGATGTCTTATGAATAAAACTGGTAATTCTTACATTTTCTTAGTGGTATATTAATTAAATAATAGTACTTTTTTATAAGATATGGTGTCTTAGAATCCATGAAATATAGTATATAATTTCTTGGCTTCAAACATTTTTTTAACTGACTATAGTGTGTTGAATAGTTTACTCCAAAAATCCATGTTTACCTGGAACTTCAAAATGCAATTTTATTAGTAAATAGAGTTTTTGTAGATGTAATTAGTTACAGATCATGAGATGAAATAATTCTGTATTTAGGGGTGGGCCCTAAATCCCATTACTGATATCCTGATAAAAAGAAGACAATACATAGAAAAACAAAAAGAAGAAGGCCATTAATGATAGAGGTAGGGATTGGATTTCTGCTGCCAAAAGCCAAATATTCCAGGAGCTGCCAGAGACTGGAAGAAGCAAGGATTCTTCCTTAGGAATTCTGGAGGGAGCGTGGCCCTGCCAGCACCTTTATTTCAACTCTTGGCCTCCAGAACAATGAGAGAATAAATTGTTCTTTTAAAGCCACATAGCTTGTGGCAATTTGTTATAGCAGAACAAGGAAACGAATGCACTTTCACTTATTCAAAACTTGTGGCAAGTCATAAAATCCAAACCATTAGAGGTTAGAAAATGTAGCAATATGGGAATAGATATTTTCATAGCAAAAAAAAAGTGACTACAATCAAGAATAAGTTAGGGCATATTTTAAAATAACTAAAAGAGCGGAATTGGAACGTTTCCAGCACAAAGAATTGACAAATGCTCAAGCGATCCTCCTGCCTCAGCTTCCCCAATAGCTGGGACTACAGGTGCACGCCACGATGCGCTGTTAATTCTTTTATTTTTAGTAGAGATGGGGTCTTACTCTTGCTCCAGTTGATCTCAAACTTCTGAGCTCAAGCAATCCTCCTGCCTTGGCCTCCCAGAGAGTTAAGATTAGAGGTGTGAGCCATCACACCGCCTATGATTAGGGATATTATTTAATTTTTGTTATTAAGGGAAATGGATCAATGAGTACTAATTGCAATTTGTGAAAAATATTGAAATCCTTCCCAAAGAATATAGTATATTAGTAAAGCCCTTAAACTTTTATTGCTACACAAATAAAACAAATGTTCATTATTTGAAAACAAAACATTTTATATATACTTTATTTAAAACTGTACAGATACTTACGCTTTCTTTGTAAAGGCGTGGCAGCTAGGTAGCGATAGGTGACATTTATGGCTCCTGAGAAATTAGATAAATCCTTGAAAGTGTGAACATAGCGTTCTGAATTCAGTTGATGTGTGGATGTTTCCCTTATGAGTTGTTTGTGTCCCTCCTAAATGCCAGGAAAGAGGCGAAGAAAAAACGATAGATGGCCTTGGGTTAAATAAAGTTTATCTTTACACAGTGAATATATGAGTATGATATGCAATATGGTGGGTTGTATAAATCTTAATTACTGACATCATAAGCTATAGATCATCACCACTTACCTGATTTCCTATCTGGAGTTTCTGGTCCAGGCTTTCTCTCCTCTATTCCACTCTGTATATTACAGTTACATTGTTTTACCACAGCATATATGAATAATGGCTTTCTATTTTTTTCTATAATTAATTCATTTTTTATTGTGGAATGACATTTCATTGTTTGGGAATACTATATTTTATGTATTTACTCAATTGATGGGCATTTGGGTTGGGACTATTGGGTTATGAATAACTCTGCTACAAATAGTCATATACAAGTGTTTAGACATATGTTTTCATTTTTTGTGTATGTGTACATGCCTGGGAGTGGAATCCCTGGGTCATATGGTTACTTATATGTTTAACATTTTGAGGAACTGCCAAATTGTTTTTCAAAGTGGCTGTACCATTTTACATTCTTACCAGATGTGGATAAGGTTTCCAATTTTTCCACATCCTTGACAATACTGGTTATGATTTGTGTTTTTGATAATAGTTATCCTAGGAGGTGTGAAGTGATATCTCCTGTAGTTTTGAGTTGTGTTTGTATAATGGCTAATTTTTGGTATGTTTTGAACATTTTTTAATGTGCATATTGTCCATTTTTATATCATTTTTGGAGTAATGTCTTTTCAGATACTAATTTTTTAATGGTTTGTTTTTATTATTGAGTATTGAGTTCATTCTATGTTCTGGACATAAGTCCTTTATCAGATACATGATTTACAAGTGTTTTATCCATCTGTCAGTTGTCTTCTTGATGGCTTCTCTTGTATCACAAAAGTTTTTAATTTTGATAAAATTAAATTTATTAATAACTATTTTTCTTTTGTTGCTTGTGCTTTTGGTGCCCTATCCAAGATCACTAAGATTTATTCCTATCCTTTATTCTTAGAGTTTTATCATTTTAGTTCTTACATTGAGGTCTATGAACAATTTGAGTTAATTTTTCTGTACAGTGTTAGGTAAGGAGTTCCATTTCATTCTTTTGTCTTCAGCTAATCAGTAGTCCTGGCACTATTTGTTGAAAAGACTTCTTTCCCTATTGAATTACCTTGGCATGTTTGTTGAAAATAAAGTAGCTGTAATGTAAAACTTTATTTCTGGGCTCTCAAATCTATTTTATTGGCCTATATGTCTATCTTTATGCTAGTAACACACTGACATTCTCTTGTTAAAAAAAATCTCAACATGAAAATTCACACTGCTATCATGTTAAGATTCATATATTTTTTTTTACAATAAATCAAGGATCTTAAAATATTACAGTAATCTATTGTAGTTTCATCTGAGGCTGATTTCCATGAAATTATCCATATGTGGGTCATATTATGCTATTTACTCTTTTTCCTCAAGCACTGTCAAATAAAAGAACACACATTATCTCTATGATTATAAAACATTGGGAATGATTTGAAAGGTAGTAATGGAAAAAACAGTTGGATTTTGGATAATTTATTAATTGAAAGTTTAAATAAATCACTTATATGGCCAATATCTAGCTGTTGAGAATGGCTAGCCATGGTCCTTGTGACATGGTCGTAATTGTTTCAAGTGTCTTAAAGTAACCTCAATTAGGACATATTTGTGCAAAGTCAAGAAAGTGTGTACTCACTTTCTCATGGTAATATTAATATATTTGCTTGTGTGTGTGTGAATGTATGTATGTGTATGGCATTCTGTTGGAGGTAAAGTCTAATCCTTTTACATTTAAGATTTCTCTTATCTATGTAGTGGTGAACTTTTCATCTCATTAAATCTCCAGGAAGGTTTATATTAAAGAAAACATTCAAATTCCAGTTAAAATATACCCCATTAGCCACTAATTCCCCTTCTTTGATATGTTTGATGATAAATTCTGGTTATCTAATCACCATTTGATCAAGTTTTTATTGGATATATCTTACTTGCAAAATGACTATTCGTTTGGCTTGTGTACATGGTTTGCTACCATTGGTAGAATACGTGTTAGGGGGCAAACTAACTAGAAAGAAATGTTTCTTTTTTGGTAAGGTGTGCACTCTACTCTGTTGTGTTATGTGGATCTACTTCTACCATTCAGTTTAAGATGTCAGGCCAAGCACATGCAAGTTATTAAGACTATAGAGAAAATAAATGCATTAAGTAACTTTGGTTCTGATTATTATTTTGCAGTGATCATTAAAACGTTAATAAAACCCCTGCTCTCAAAGATTAGACAAGACTCAAATACAAATTTTACCTCCATTGAAACATTCAGTATTTTGTGTCAAACTCAAATGTCAATGGAAAGGATGATTAGTTCAAAATGTTATATCTATTGGCCAGACTGGAATATTCTTAGAATAAAAATTGAGCATAGCAGACCATGACTGCAGATTTATAAGAGCTTTCAATATGGTGCTCTACTAAATAGAGACTCATTTTGAATATCTTTTCTGCATAGCCAATTATGTTGATGAACCTAAAATTCTATGTTTATTTGGTCTTTAATAGTATATTTCTGTATTTTATATTGGCTTAACAATTTGGACAAATCAAAATACTCTATTTTTTTAAAAACATTCATAATGTACTTGCCATCTGTAAAAGCTATAAACTTTCAAAATATTTGAAATTAAACTTTAGATGATAAATTTCTTAGAAATATACTAATTGAATATCTATTGAGTTATCATTTTAAATTCTTTACACATAAATATTTTAATCAGGATGTCTGCAAATCTATAAAGCATCATTAAAGTCTAAAATAAACAAATTTAGGATTGCCAAAAAGTAACTGGGGACTCAGTTTATCATCAACTACTTGAATAGAAATGTAATGGTGTACACATTTAATAGCACTTAGAAGAAATTTTCTATAAAAATTTTCTATAAAAATCACAGTAATCATAGCACTAAATTCATTTTATCATTCTGTTTTTATGTAATATTAATAAGGGAAGTGCAGGATATTGAATACTTCTTTGAGAATTCTATCCCAAACACATAAAAATTGAAACCTTTTCTGTGGTAATATGGAGTGCATTCATCCTGATTAAAGGACATAACAGAATATAAAAGGAAATGGAACTTATATGAAATCACTTTATTCAATTCTCAAGAACAAGCTTCTTTACACTTTTCAGCATAAATAAATAATGTAACTTTCACCTGAGTCAGCCTTATTGGCTGCTTTCCAGAGGCATCTACCTGAACAGCCAGGCTTTCCCTGGACACCTTCTTTCTGTAGCTACTATGATGTAGTATAGTTCTCAGTAATAAGACAAGGCTTCATGCAATCATTTTCTGGATGGGAACGCCATTCAGTGGACTAGCTACAGACCAAATATATACCCTGGTGGCTATTTTGAAGATGCTCACAGCTAAGAGGCTAAGTTGATTGGGCATGCAGCGTCTCTTCTACTTAGTTTGCTTTGTAATGTTATTTGTCTCTTACTCTAAGCTTGGCTTTTTTTTTTTTTTTCACCTAAAGGCACATATGTTTCTAATACATAAGCAAATACACTAAACTGTTAATATTTCTAGGATTTCAGGGCACAAATGTATTTTCTAGCAAAAAGAGCAGAAAAGAATCTGCTAAGTAACTCGAGAGACTTTACTGCAATACTTCTAACTATTCATCTGATTTATTTGAATTATAAGTATTATTTTTCACTGAAAAATGGAAGACAGAAAAAGAAATGTCTTCTAAAGTCTATGCTTAGAAAATTGCACACATTGTGGCATTCTGGATACCAGAAGGAAAATCAAGTCAGATAAGCTTTTGAAAAATGAAATATACACAGGTTAAAGGATCAACAGGGAGAAGTGTTAAAAAGAAACTTTATTATATTCTTCTAGGGGGCCAGTTTCTATGAATATTCTACACTTTAGAAAAATAAAGTTAGTATTAATGATTGAAAAATGTTTTAAATCTTTATAATATCAATGCTTGAGATAAAATTCAGCTAAAATACAATTTAGTTAGAAAACATCAGCTAGCAAATAGCGAAAATTTAATAATGAAAATAATGTCACTGAATTTACTTTAAGGGAAAGGTACTGACATTCAATAATCATTTGAACCAATTTTTTCATACTTAATGTAAATATTTTAAAAATAGTAACTTTTTAACACTAAGAAGCAATCTATTCTCTGCACCTGGAATGATTAGCAAATTTGATTAAATATGTGCATAATATAGTCAGAGAAATACAGTTGCAAAAGTACTATTAGTAGATCTACTTTGTTAAATCACATTTTGTACATTCAGTGGCTAAGACCAATATTTAGATAGTACTATGCAAAATTCCATAAAACAAGGCAATAGTGTTGATTCTCTAATTTACATATACTTCACTACTTCTTACACATTTTACAGTGAATCAAAGAAGTTCTATTTCAAAAGACATAAGGATTTCTGTTGCACACAGTGGCCTTTCAGGTATTTTGAAAGTGAAAGATTAAAATTGCACTTGAAACTTCCTAATAAATGAATACAATAAGCATCCAACCAGTAGCATGTGTTTGATTTACAAGATTTGATTTACTTTTACCAGAGGTCACAGAGTCAAGAAATACATTTTTATTATAAAATTCAATCATTAATCAAGAGAATCTCTACTTAATTTATGACCTTTAATTCTATCAAGTAAACTTAGCTAGAACACATTTTGTATTTTCCTTACATCTCATAAACATATTAGGTTATAAAAATCACAAAATGTATATTATCAGTAAGTTTCTTTAGTTTGCTATGCTTGCCTAGTCAAATCCTGTTAATCTGTGGTGATTTCAACCATTGTGAATTAACTGCGGATAGTAGAAAGAAAGGTCCCACAAACTCAGGACCTCTACTTGAAGGTCAAAAGCCTGGGCAGAATCAAGATCTAGGATTTTGGAAGAATTTCACCATCAAAAAACAGAGCTAATAGAAGCAAGATGTTTTACAGAGGACCTCCTAGGAGGATCTGTACCAACTAAGACCACATGGTTTGCTCATAGGATATAGATATGATCTGGCAAATAGTAGGTAGTTAATAAGTAATGTTCAATTTCCAAAAAAGACATGTTATTGTAAAATGCTGTTGGTGGTTATTGTTACAGTCTCTCTTGTTAAGATGTTAATTGAAACTTTCAGAATGCTTGCACATGGGAAGCACTTTTTAGTACCTGTGAGTTTAAAGGTTTTGATTTTCCTGAAATATATATAAACAATAATAATAACATAAAAATCAGGATAGATATCTTAGCCTCAATTCAGATAGAAAAAGTGAATAAACAATCATGTCCACATTACCCTCATTGGTCATGAAATAATATAATAATTATAACAAGAAAAATAATAGAAACTAACAAACTAAATTCTTATAATTAGCCAGAATAAGCTCTTGTGCGTATTTCCATATTTCACAAAAAAATTCATTCATGTATCATTATCTACTAATATTTATTACCTCTTTTTAACTACTGAATAGTTTACACATAAACATATCTATATCTTGAGGTCTTTTCAGTGAATATAAAAAATATATAACATGGTGGTCATTTAGGAAATGGGAATACAAGAGAATTTAGGGAATACAAGAGAAAAAAAATCTGTTAATTGTCATCAGTGAAATAATGTTAAGGTAACATCTATATTCCATATTATAATGTAATTAAAATAGAAGATGCCAAAAGTATGGGCCAAATATTGAACTTAGTAGATGGCACTAGAAACAGTTATGGGAATATGGGTGGGGTAGAGAAGTCACAGAAGAAGGTAAGGTTTTGGGGATAAGTCCAAACCCATAGCTGAAAACTTCTGAGTTACAATTGCTTTGGTTATCAAAATCCAAATGAGATGCTATATATTATAATAAAATACTACTTAAAATGCACAATTAAAAAGTATTAATTTGAAATGGCATTTTGAAAATTTCAATGATGATACAGAAAAGTAGAGAAAGCAAGAAGGAATGCTTTTGAAGTAATTTTTTTCTCTATATATTTCAAATTAAAGCCCCCAAATCTTAATTATTTATATAATATTAATTCAGCTTAGTGATGATAGCTAACTTATTTGTAATTAGATATACATATTTGAAATATGTATAGACAGCACATATACATACAACGTAGACAGCATTAAAGACAGCATACATTAGACAGCATACAGCATTAGACAGCACACATACACATATACAATGTAGACAGCATTAAAGAAAATATTGGAATGTAAATCAAAATAAGTGCAATGTTGGTAATATATGGCTAATGAAAAATGTAGATAGAAAATATTTATGTTATAATTTTACTTAAACCAATACCAATACCAGTAGTCCAATAGCCTGGGGTTGAAGTTAGGTTACAATTGGGCTATTACAATTTTAAGCCTTATTTTGAAGAAAAAATAAACACTTTCCAAAACTTACCAGAACATAGCTATCTTCGATGTACAAGTTCATAAACAGGAGAAAAATGACAAGAACTCCCAAGAATGACACTGTAGAACGTTTTCGCAGGCATCTCATTTTATCCAGTATTTCAAAAATATGTTTCATTTGATGAAATTTAAACATTCTCCTCTGTGGAAAAGAGGCAAATAATTACTAAAGTTAATTTAGATGCAAATATTTCTTTATGATAGACATCAAAAGTCTGTGCACTACCCTGTTTATTGCCACACTACTGACAAGAGCCAAGATATGGAATCAACCTAAGTGTCCATCAACAGATGACTGGATAAAACAAGTGCTATATATATATATACACAATGAAATACTATTTAGCCTATCACTTGATGGAAGAACAACATGGAAGAGCAACATGGAAGAACATGGAATACATCATGTTAAGAGAAATAAGTCAAGCACAGAAAGAAAAATAATGCATGATTTCAATTATATGTGGAATCTAAAAAAGTTAAACTCATAAAAGCAAAGAGTAGAATAGTGGTTACCAGAGGCTGGAGGGGGGGGGTGTGAAAGGAAAAGGTTGGTTAATGGGTAAAAACTTACAATTAGGGAGGAAGAATAAGTTCTTGTGTTTTATTACACAGTAGGGTGAGGACATCTATACACAATGCAGTGTATATTTCAAGGTACACAGAAGAGAGGAGTTTGCATGCTATTATCACAAAGAAATAATAACTATTTAATGGGATAGATGTGCTAATTATTCTGATTTGACCATTATACAATCAATGTATACATGCATTGAAACATCACTGTGTCCCCAAAATATGTACAATTATTTGATGTCAATTACAAATAAAAATTAATGATGAAAAATTAGAAAAAAATAAAACAAACTAATCCTGAAGTAAGCTAGAAAAAGAGCAAATTAGTCAAATAGTAAGCAGAACAAAAGTGATACAGGTAAAAATGAAAATCAAAGCATAAGAAAAAGAACAATTAAACTGAATTCTTGTCCCTTGAAAAGATCAATAAAATTGATACTTCTTCAGCCAGACTGATTAAGAAAACAAGAGAGAAGACATTAATAATATCAGAAGCAAGCACCACTAAGTTGGAACTTATAGATCAACACTTATGTGTACATACGGTAGTAAAATTCAACAGAAATCAAGAAGGTGGAAGGAGGGAGGAAGGGATGAGTAAATTCACACCTAACAGGTACAATGCACACTATATAGGTGATGGACACACTTATAACTTTGACTCAAACTGCACAAAAGCAATTCATGTAACCAAAATGTTTGTACCCCTATAAAATATTCTGAAGTAAAAAAAAGATAGCAAGTAAGAAAAATAATATCAGGAGCAAGTTATGTTCCATCAATAAAGATTCTACAGATATTAAAGGGATAATAAAATATTTTGAAAAATATAATATATGGCAACAAATTTGACAACTTAGATCATGGACAAATTCCTTGAAATGCACAAATTACTAAAGCTCATTAAAGAAATAAACAGAATAATTTTGTATTAAATAAAGTGAATATGTAGTTAAAAATACTCCAAAAAGAACATTCTATGTCCATATGACTTCACCAGTGAATTTCACCAAATATTTTGAAGGGAAAAAAGTACCAATTCTACATAAGCTTTTCCAGACACTAGAAGGGCAGTAAATAATTCTTATTGTCTGTATCTAATGAAACATTTTTATTAAATTTTTTTGAAAATAACTTTTGAATCATTATATAAATAATTTGCAGGAATAAAAATGATAGTAAAAATACAACTTTATTAGAAATATTGTAAGACTCTAAACATAGCTAACCCAAATTTTCTCATTCATTATCTCAATTTTGAAAGTATATTTCTCCAAAATCTACAGTACTTCATCAATTGTTCCCCAACCATAATTCCTAACCCTGGAACATATCCATCTTGACAGTTCTGATTCCAGATTTCAAGTAAATTCTAACAGGTTCATGCTTATTTGAGTTCTTCTTGTGTTTGCAACATCAAGACAGAATACTTTTGGGAACTTGCATGGCTCATGATTTTCTTGATGACAGAACAACTTTCATATCTTTTCAAGTCAGGTTGGTTCCATATCTGATCCCTGATTATCTTATCAAATTTTTCATCCACCACCATCCCCCAGATAATATCTATTCACCTTGTCCTGCTTTCAGCAAGAATCCTTTTAAGTCAGTTTAGCAAAGAATTACCCTCCCCTCTTAATGATTTTCAATCCATTGATTTGTATCCCTTTCCTTGGCTATAAATTCCAACTTTTCTTTGTTTTACTCAAAGAGTTGAGTCTAATCTCCCTTTCCTATCATAAAACTCCATTGCAGTAGGCTTTTGAAGTCCCTTGAATAAAGTTTACCTTACTATCTTTAATTAGTGTCATGAGTAATTTTTTTCTTTAACGGTTTTTGATACTGTAACTTGGGTAGGATCAAATTCATCACTGGACCCCCACACCTCTCACCTAGGATGCCGAGTGCATACCTTTGGAGCCTCTGTCTTCACTTCTGGCTGATTGATGGGGAATCCATTGATGGTTTCAACTCTTGAGCCAGTGTTCCAGACGACAGTCTGTTGAACCACAGTAAGGGCAGATTATGAATCTTAAGACTCTGAGTGTATTATACATGCTGGGTTAGAGTCCCAGAAAAACAGAGGCTGGATTACAGTCCTAGGTTTCTCAGTTTGTAAGAAGCTGAGTTAGAGTCTCAGGCTTCTTTCTTAAGAAAGTACCTGCTGGGCTGGAAGTCTTAACTTCCTCTTTTTTTGAGTGGGAATTTACTTCCTGAATTCCTGGGCTGTAAAATTTCCCCTGGCTCTTTGTGAGGCCTCTATGACCCTGTTTCTCTCAAGGTCACTTCTCAGTCAACTGAAACTCCCTTCTCAAATCCCTACTAACCCTATGCTGCACTAACTGTCCACAGGCATACTAAAAGCTAGCTTTTTGGGGTATTATATCTGCTGAAAAACAGTTTCCAAAATCATTGGGTAACTTGCGACTTTAGAGGTTTTTGTGTTGTTTTTTTTTAATTCAAAATATTAAGGGGATACAACTGTTTTTGTTACATAGGTGAATTGTATGATGCTGAAGTCAGGGCTTTTAGTATGCCTGTCACCAGAACAGTGTTCATTGTACCCAATAGGTAAGTTTTTATCCCTCACCCCCCTCCTACCCTCCTGCTCCTTGGTTTCCAATGTCTTTTGCACCTCTTTGTGCCTGTGTGTACTCATCTCACAAATGCATTTTATCACATTGAGGATGTTTTCTTCTATTCCTAGACTGATGACAGTCTATATCAGGAACGAGTGTTGAATTTTGTCAAATATTCTCTCTCTGTCTTTATTGAGTTGATAGAGCTTTTTTCTCCTTTATTATGTTAATATGATGGATTATACTGCTTGTATAATTTAAACCAAATACAATTACATATTAAAATAATTATGTAATTATTTTCATATATTATTGGACTTGATTTGCTAAGATTTTATTTCTGTGTTTACATTAAGAAATACTGATGTATAATGCAAAAAAGTAAAAAAAGAAAAAAAGAAATACAGTGTGTAATTTCCTTTTTTATTTTCTATTGTCTTTGTTAGCTTTTGCTATTAAATTGCTGGTCTTAGAGAAATCTTAAGTCTATGGCTAATTTTGCCTTACTGCTAAGGTAATACACTTCTGATGATCCATATATTAGGACTTTTTTTTTCTGGTTGATAGAAATATTAATTATTCTTGTCTTTGTATTCCAGAAATTGTTCTAATTGTTTCTTTCTAGTGATTCTTTACTAGTCTTGAGTACTTTTTTTTCACACATATGCACTGAATAATGCTCAGCTAAAGACATGAAGGAATTCCTTTATACATTAATACATACTCTGAGTGATAACCTGTCTCTGAATTCTTTCTTGTGCTGCAACCTAGAAACTTTAGGCAGTAAGCTACAGCAATTATCTCATTTGTTTTCCTTCTATGAGGAATCATTGCCCTCATGTGCTTGTTTTCCAATGGCTAAAAGATGCTGTTTCATATTGTTAGTCTAGTTTTTTAGTTGTTTATGGATAGCAGTAAATCTGGTCTCTGTTGCTCTATCATAGTCAAAGCATCTTTCTGGTTATAAGATTCTTTGCCCACACTTTCTCTCCTTTATTTTCTTGAAAAATATTGCTTCATTATTGTCTTGCTTTTTATGTTGCTATTGAAACATCTAATTTTACCTGCTTTTATTTCCATTACAAATGGCTTGGAAAATGGAAATGAATTGATTTTGTAGCCTAGAGGCTTGCTAAATATTTTCTTTATCTTCAAGGCTGCATTAGGTATTTCTGGAAGGTATCCATTCTGGTCTGGGTCAAGTACTCAGGAATTACTGGAGAAACTTTAACACAAGACCACTCTGGATCACTTAGTACATTTAATTGTAGATCTAATTTTAAATAAACATAGGAAATATAGTATAATTATAGTGTGCAAATGTTATATGTTCTGACAATTCCAAAATATAGCCAACTAAAAATGTGAGGAGATAGAAAGGGGAAAGTAGAATAAGCTCATCTACATTTACACTTTGTTTGCTTTAAAAAATAGTCTCTGACTCACACCTATTATCTAATAGACTATTATTTAAAGCAAACAAAACAAATACCAGAAGCAAAGTAAGGAAATGAAACTAATGGCATAATTAAAGGTATTAATAAAGGTAACTACTTAAACAGTAATACAAAAGTTCCTAAATATAATACCAAAATGAATAAAAGAAAAACATTTGCAGTACCACCACTGCTATGATTTAAATGTGTGTCCCTTCTGAAGTCCATGTTGAAACTTAATCCCTGATAGGACAGTATTAAGAGGTGAGGCCTCTTCCCTGGGGAATGGATTAATTCATTAATAGATGAGTGCTATGGTCTCCAATCCCTGGAGTATGGGCAGGTACTGGTCGGTGACCTGTTAGGGATTGGGTGGCAGAGCTTCTCCCCTTCTCCCCTGCCCCTTGTTAGTAGAAAAATTGTCTTCCATGAAATTTAGGAAATGGGAGAGTACACAGCAGGAGGTGAGTGGTGGGCAGTGAGTGAAGCTTCATCTGTATTTACAGCTGCTGCTCCCCATCACTGGCATCATAGCCTGAGCTCCACCTCACCCCTACTCAATGTTCTGGGAAAAATTGTCTTCCATGAAATTTAGGAAATGGGAGAGTACACAGCAGGAGGTGAGTGGTGGGCAGTGAGTGAAGCTTCATCTGTATTTACAGCTGCTGCTCCCCATCACTGGCATCATAGCCTGAGCTCCACCTCATCCCTACTCAATGTTCTGGGAAAAATTGTCTTCCATGAAATTGGTCTCTGGTGCCAAAAATGTTGGGGACCACTGGATTAGTGGATTAAAGGCTTAATTGATTAATAAATTGTTGCAGAATTAGTTATCATGAGAATGAGTCTGGTATAAAAGCTAGTTTGGCTCTCTTGCATATGCCCCTCTCTACTGGTGATGCCTTCTGCCATGTTATGACACAGCACAAGGCCTTCACCAGAAACCAAGCAGATGTACCCACCTGACCTTGGACTTCTCAGCCTCCAGAACTGTAGTAAATAAATTTAGTTCTTTAAAAATTACCTAGTCTCAGGTATTCTGTTATAGCAATAGAAAACAAACAACCACATAGGGAGATATATTAAATATCCTATAATATATATAGAAAACACACCTTAGATTATAGATTTGAGACTAAACATGTCAGTAATATCAATAAATGCAAATAATCTTAACTTACTTTTTAAAGGAAAAAAATTTGTGCAAACATTAATACCTAACCCCTAACTCTAAACTGTATAAAATAAATATACCTAAAGAAAGTGATTCATAAAGGCTAGTGATAAAAGGATGAACAAACTATATTAAGCAAATACAATGAGAAATCATGATTTTCTGGGTATACTGAGTAGCTAATCATGCCATCTAAAGTTAGATTCAAAATCTATAGGCACTGTAAACACATTAGCTACTTAGGAACCCAGTGTTATAAAAAAAGTATGTCGATATAATCCACTAACAATATTGATTACCATGAAGAAATACAACATTGAACATGGCAGACACAAGCCCATCATTCTTTACAAACTCTGTGTGTTAAAAGACATTTGTAAACAGGTGAGCACATCCTGATAATATATAATTCCATGTAGCATGTTACTGCCTGAAAATATCAATCATGCCAATGAGGGCAAGTTACTTGAGCAGTAGTATTTTGGTTCCATGTTCAAATAATATTTTATCTGTTAGAATTTTCCTCTTTTATCTTGGAATAAAATTAGAAAGGACACACATGATTTTCTTTTAAGTTCATAGGTTGATTGCTATAGAGTAGTTTAATTTGAAAAGTGCTAACTCATATTAATCATCTTTTAAGTGAATTATTTTCTTAAGATGATATATCATCTTTATATACCCTAAATGTCATCAAAGATTTACTTGCTAACAACATATGCCACAATACATTTTATCTCTTTCACATCCAATAGGAAATACTGAACATGTTTTGTTTAGTAGTTTTATTGCAAGTGTTTTCAAAAACAGCTTTGTCACAAGTTTATAATACAAAGCTGTTAATTGCAGAATACAATTATGGAAATAAGGATATATAATCCTTACCTCCCTGCCCCAAGTATGTGCAAAGCTGGCATGTCTGGTTCAATAGGACAATTAGCTTTTGTTTGAGGGCAGAATCACATTCTTCTTGAAAGACCCCAGTTATGCATGTTCACGTGTATGAAAAAAATATAAAGGTTTAGAGTCACTTTGATGTGACAGTATACCAAGTAATTCATTTTTAAAAGGAAATAAATAATTTTCGCTCTATACTATCTTTCATGAACATTATTATATATAAATATATGGATAAGTATACTTGTATACAAATCTATCTTATATATTCATGTATTTACATATAATTTTGAAATTATAAATAGTATGGCATATAGTCCTATGCACCTATATATACACAATCATACACATATAAATACAGCTGTATTCACTAATAATGAAACAAGTAAATCAGTGAGACCATACTATTTTTTCTCACCATATTGACCTTACTTGAATTCTATCTATTAAGTTTATGAACCACCTCCGAAAAGGATGTAAGACTTTCTTAGTAAACTCCTTTCTCTCCCACTCCTATAAATATTGCTCTTTCTTTTCTTCTTTACAGTCTTTTTGGTATTACATGACTTCTCCTACAATCACTTTTTGAACAAAATTCCAAACTTAGATCTTTGACTGTCTTGCACCCTAGGCCCAATTTTCGAATAATGATGATTATTTCTACTTAGGTTTCCTTCTGACCACTCAAACACAATGCAGCTGAAACTGTACAGTAATTTTTTCTTCCAGCCTATTTCTCCTTCTACAGTCTCACTGTTGATAGAATTAGCTTTTTAATGGACCAGTCAAAAAACACTGGATTCCAGATTGCTTCCTGGGCCCTCATAGGGCTCTCTATGCTGAGCCCTCTTTCTCCTCAATCTCTTACCTGCCACAGTGTTTCATTTAGATATCACTGCCATAATCAAAGTTC